TGTAGCAGTTTATCTACAAAACCTAGACGCAAAAGATGTGTCCGGTCTTTCAAATGCAGTCCTAGTGAACAAACTGGTAAAAGATATTTAGAAGCCTAAGGATACAGGTAAGGATCTAAAGGGATTTTTAGAAGCATATAGATGCCTCACTCCCATTAGTCACACAGAGCAGTTTTCCTCTGCAAGACAAAACATTATTCATATGTTTGTCAAATAAGTGTATTTGCATTTAAATCTTCATTTATTCCTTTGTAAAAGTGCAATATAGATCTACTTTTAAGAACCAAAATTAATTTTCAAAGGCAACTATGAATTCTTTCATACTGAATTAAATGTTTTTGAGAAATATTGATAAAACATCACAGGGTGTGGCTAAATGTTAACATTAAAAAATGTAATTATTATCCTTAAGAATTGTTATAGTCACATGAATATAATTTTGTTGTAGGTGAAAACGTGCATCACTTATGCAGAGACCACTAAAGAAATTTTCAGTGTGGGGTGAAATTTACGTTTGTGTCGAGAGCCAACCCAGGAGCCAGACACTGCCAACAAATGTCTTTCCTCTGAAAACACTTTACTAAGGATAAGAACTAAATATATTGCAGGTGACATTCTCTATTGTGCAGGGGTCCCACACAGGTCTCTGTATTATATAAGTCCTACTTAAATACTACTCCAAAGCTGCACAGATCTACTGCACAGGCAAGAAAGTTCCCTTGAAAAAATTCCTTGAGCCCTTTGAAAAGGATGAACTTTAGTAGCATCTATCACAGTTTCTCAAGCAATACATAAATCTTGTGCTGGCCTCTGCACAGGGGTGGGCACATCTTGTAGATTAGCTCTCCTGTGTTGTAGAAATATTGGAAAATCCTACAGCACTTAAATTTACATTATGTAGAATGGGTTGACACCGCATATATACAAATTTTAAGACAGTAAAAACATTAGTTACTGAAATGTTCAAGACAAAAGGGACTTGAGTATTTTAGATTTTAGCTATTGACAACTTCTGGCCCCATGCTGAAATCCTCATTCCACTGAAATAATTGAGAGACATTACTGACCTTAGTGAGGACAATATTTCACCCCATCTTTCCAACTGTCATCACTAGCCTTTCTTCTTACACAGTATCAAACTCAGACTCCATTAGTGAGATTTCTCAGTGTCAGACTTCTCAAAAACCTCTTCCATTCTGAGGAAAAGGTTCAAAACACTGGGAATCATCCAGCATCCTCACCTGGTTCACAACGGTAGTACAAAATTTCAGGGCACATATCCTCAAAAGAAATAGATGGCAAGTACCCCAAATGCTGCTTACACACCAAAAAATTCCTCTGCAATAGTTTTAACTGTGCCCCGTTTCTGCACTCAGGTTCCTGGCTCCTTGGCCCTGTGCACCCAACCATCACCTCGTGGGAGTGAACTTCCCAGACCTGCAGATGATATCAAAGACTGAGAATATCAAAGTAGGGTTCTCCAAAAATACTGTCTTGATCTGGAAATGGACGTAGTGGATCTAATTAACTAAAAAGTGTTCCTTGGTCATTCTTGAATATAACCTAATTTTGAAAAAAACCCAAAGACTTGCAATACAGAATCCTCAGTCACCACCAACAACGCTGAGTATTTCACCAGTTATTTTCTTGGCCATGATAATTAAATAACTCAAACAGGAGAAAATGAAAGAGCTCTGTACCATAGCTCTCAAGAACTTTATAGCAGAGCTGTCCAAACCTGGAGATGGTTCTCATCTTTGATCTAAATCAGAAAATCAGCAAAATTGTCTTTCTTCTCTCATTTTCTAGTGAAAGTTCTAATCAATCTGCTGGTAACTCTAATGAGGAACATGAACCCTCTTGTGCTTGTACTCCACTTACATGCTTTCCTTCTACCCTTCCTTTATGGGGCAGAGCAGTACATAAGTAGGAAAAGAAAAAAAACAAAAAGTCAAGGAAAGATATTTATTTCCCTAAGAGTAATCACTTCTGATATGTTTGTTTGGGATCACAGGTCCTCTGTGTTTTGGAGTCTCCTTTGTGTTGCCCTTAGAGTTACCCCCCTTATACTGTGTGGTGGGCAATTTATTAAAGATTTAGGATCTTTTCTTGTGTCAAAACCCCAAGAAATTCTTCTTAGCTACCCCTAATCCACTCACTTTGCAACATGGGCTGCCTCACACTTTTTTTCCTGAAACTTTCATATCTCTAGGCCAGCTATTTTGAAGAACTAGCTAGCACAGATGTCATCACCTGTCCTTACATAGCTCTTCTCCCTGCCTTCCAATTGTTCTTACTTCCTGGAGCCATCTTTGTCTGACATCTGCCTTCACCTTCCAGATTCTCAGCCTCATGACTCTTGGATTTTTTTTCCCTACATGGAGGACGTGACCTGCTACCTGTGAAACAGGTAATGAGACATTATGTCACTCCACTCTCTTACTTTGTGACAAAAGTTTCTGTTGACTGACTCTACCCTTACAACAAACAGAATGGAGTTCAAGCCATATGATGGATTTGTGTCTCAGAATGAGATAACCTGTTCCCTAATGCATCTATTTCTCAGCAATGATAGGAAACTAACTTTGTTATGTGTCACTTCAATCTTGATATCTGTATTTTGTTGAACAAAATTAGAACACTTGTTCTCAGGTTACGCCTATGAAGACAAATGGATTTATGCTGAACTGGTGGTTGAACACTGAATGAATTCTGAAGTTCACAGATTACTTCTAAGTAGTTTGCTACATGTCTAAAAGGAGAGCAAGTTTTAAAATGTTATATAGCAACAAATTTTGTAACATCTCTAAAAGAAAGCCCAGACAGAAAAAAGTTAAATCCTACGGCACTGGATCTATTTTTTTACAATGATGATTGTGTTGCATTGTTTACTCCTAAAAACATCATCATTCTTACACATATCAGAGTGTATTTGGTCCTGACCATGACCATACTACAGTCATTCAGTACCACATATTATAAATCTTCCTAATCCTACTTTGCAAATGTTTCATTTTCATGCATGGCATTTAGAGAACTCTTTGCTACATTAGACAGATCATTAAAGCTACTTCCTTGCCCCTCACATTTTAAGAATTACTTCAAAGGTCATTGTTTGTGTCACTGTGGCTACATATATTTAACAACAAAGAAAGGATGCCTGGAGGGTATCTGCATAGCTTAGGTGATTGTGACATGAGAAGTGCAACTTGTACTAACTTTAACAACCACCCAAAATGCCAGTTTTTCAAAAGGGACCTAACACCTGCCACCCCATAGATGGGCACCATCATGTCCTCATAATTACATTTGCAGAAAAGAATTTAAAATCGTGTGGTACCTAAGCTTTGTGTCAGTTTTCTGCCCAAGAATAAATTTTATCTGAAACAAGTCACATGGTTAAAATACTGCAATGTTGGTTTTAAATAAGTGTATTTTCCAGTGGTTGCAGACCTCTAGGCTTGGTCAGGCTACTACTGAAGCTAATTTTGGCAACCAATTCCAACGCCTTTTAGTGAATGTCAAAAAAAAAAGAACCCAAAACTGATGACAGCCTTAAAAAATGCCTGTAGTCTACTAACGGGCTCAAAGATGTGACACACATTATGAATCAACCCTATAAATCTGTCCCACAGAAGGATTTATTCTGGCTTGAATGGAAGCTCCCAGAGAAGTTCCTCAGGATCCAAATCTCTCGACCCAAAACAAGCTGTTCCTCAGCTGCCTTCCAGCCAAAGCCAATTACTCTTGGGGCACGGCTTTCGTGTTCCCACTTCTCCCGGATAAACTTCCATACAAACCGAAGAGGCGGGAGGGCGGAGGGATCCCAACCCTTCCCGCTTCCTCCCGCTTTTGCCGCGGTGGCACCAGCGAGGGTCAGTGCCAGCGGGTGCGGGGGCCGGCGGGAGGCCCCTGCGGCGGCCCAGGCCACAGCCCGCCGCCTCCCGGCGCCGCCGCCCCGGCCCACCGGCCCGCATGACATCATCGGGACGGCTCGGGATCGATCCCCGCCGGCCGCCGGCTCGGGCGGGCGCTCCTCCGCGGCGGCCGCCGCCGCCGCCCTGCGCGCCGAGGGGGAACGCCGGCCCTGCCGCGGACGGAACAGGCTGACACCAGATCCGTCCCCGCCGCCATGCAGCGAGCGCGCTGACAGCTCTGCGCCGGCTTCGGGCTGCGCGTCGGAAAGCTGCTCCACGGGCTGCCGGGGGGAAAGGTGCGGTGTCCTCACGGCCCCGCGGCGAATGCGCCCTCCGCGAACAACGGCACTTGTAAAAGGAGCCCTCCCTGGCTCGGGGGTCAGGAAGAAGGAATTCACCGGGTGGGAATCGGGAGGAAGGAAAACGAGCCACCAGCGGGAGGATCAAGCAGCGGCAGCTGAAGAAACCGCCCGGTCCCTCTCCTGACAGGCTGCGACGCGCAGCGCGGCGGGCGCTTCCAGACCCCCGTTGTAAGCGAGTGGGGCGGGAGGGGGAGCCCAGAGGCATAAACAAGGAGCGCAGGACCTAATTCCTTCCCCTCCCTCTCCTCACTGGCTTGCCCAGGCTCGCCAATAAATCCAGCTCGGCTATACATCGCGATGGGAACGTGCTGCCAAGGAGGCTGCCTTCCCGTCACTGAGGATGCTGCCTTCCCCTCACTGAGAAGGCTGCTGCCGCCGGGGCTGCCTGCACACCACTGAGGACGCTGCTGCTACCGCGGAGGTTGCCGTGCCCTCTCTGAGACAGCAGCAGCTGCCGCCGCCGAGCTCGCCGTGCCCTCATTGAGGCGGCCGCCGCCGCTGCGTTACAGGGAGAGATTGTGGCGCTGCGACAGGGGAGGACGGGGCTCGGCGCGCAGGGGGGAGGCGCGGCGAGCATGCGCCGCCCGAGCCACTGACTGGATCCTCAGCCAAGGTACCGAGGCAAAAAAAAAAAAAAAAAAAAAAAAAAAAAAAAAAAAATTTAAAAAAAAAAAAAAAAGGAAAAGGATTGAGAGAAAGAAGAATGAGTGACGGTAGAGGAGAATAGGAAAGATCGCCAGGGTAAAGCAGCCCCCGGTCGGCGGGAAGGAGCAGCTCTGGCATGTGGGGATCTCCGGCACCAACAGGTAGGAGGAGAGGGGCTGGGGGCTCCGAGGGCTGCCGCGGCTGCAGGTGCGTGCTGGGAGGGCTCTCCCGCTCAGGGGTGCGGGGCTTATTTCCAAAGAAGTGGCATGATGGAAGCCCTCACAGACAATGCCTCTTCCGCTCTCCCCAGCTCCCCGCCGCGGGGGGCTCTCGCACGGCTCCGGCAGATGCGGCTGATGCCAGGCAGCGGCACCCGGGCTGCCTTGCAGCGCGGCGCAGTCCAGCCCTGCATGGCCGGGCGTGGGGGAGCGGCTGTGGCCGTGAGTGCGTGTGTCAGCGGCGGTGTGAGTGTGGCAGCAGTGGCGGTGCACAGCGTGCGGGCTGTGTGTGCGGAGGCAGGGCCGGCCGCCGCGGGGACAGCTCCACGGAGGAGGGGGAGCGGCGGGGCTGGCGGGAGGGGGGAGGGGGAGCCTGATTTCATGGTTTTAAAACGATGCCATGATCTGATCAGCCTCTGTTTACACAGCAGCAATCAGGCTCTTTTGTGGACGGTAAGAATGCAAGGATTTTGCTGGGATTCAGTGGGAATATCCTTTGTACACCCGAGGTGGCATAGGAAACACTTCGTGTGAATAACGAAGGAGCCTGATCATGCCTGCTGTGGCTCCTGTCCCTGGCTCTGGAGGGAGAAAAAAAGAAAAACAAAACAAAACCAAACCAGGAGGGAAAAAAAAAAAAAACAAACAAAGGCAGCAACAGACTGTTCTTTATTTTATTTTATTGCATGAAACGTGTTCTGGTACGATTCACTGGGAGGATTAATGGGAATCGCGGAGCCCTAATTAGCTTGAAAAAAATAAAAAAAAATCCCAAAACCCAAAAACAATTTATGTGTTTATTTAAGCATAACCAAAACTAGCCCTCCCGAAAGGATGGGCATTATATCTTGGCTGTGCTGCCTATTTTTGCTCAGTATTTACACTGACCGTTGCTTATTATGAATTATGCCGAGGCTTTAACAATTTGCATTAAAGCACGGGGGAAGGAGGGGGGAGGCCGGGGGGACGACACCCTAAAGCATACTGCTATCGACTGTCTAGATACCTGTTTCTCTTAAATGATAAAATTATGGTTTATAGCAGGGAGGGAGGGGGATAGTGAATACTGTTTCTCACAAAATGCATAAACTAACACTGTGTGATTAATGTGCTTTGGTGACTTGGGTTAAAAAACATAAATTCTGCAGGGTTTCTTTGGGTGTGATCCATATCAACACAGCAGTTACCTCTTAAAACATTGACAAATACTGTAGCCATAAAATAAATGTAGGTAATGTCAAAGCATCAGCAGTCTTTGGGGATTTTTTAAAAAATATGTCAATGATTAACTCTTGGGCTTGCAAACTGGGAATCTTTTGATTCATAAAATCTCTGAGGCTTTAACTGTGGAATTTAATGTGCTACCAAATATAAGGGGCATTGGTCAGTCGTGAAACTGTAACATGCCAAATCTGCCAATAGTCAACCATACTAAATAGTCAGAAAAAAAAAAAGCCTCATGTTTTTTAAAAATAAACAATAGTACTCAAATTTACAACTTCATTTGGTTCTCCATAAATTAACATCTTTGTTAGCACTTTCTGACATCATTTTGTGTTAACTTAAGAACTGATAGCTCGATTTTTTTTCAGATATTTTGATGGCATGACAAATCAGAAAGAAGAGGATGTACTGTATGACTAGACACAAGATCAGTTCTGTTTGTGGATTACATTTTCAGTAAGATGTATGGATCTATTTTTTCCTTGTTCTTAAATATAGATCATGAGACTTGACTGAGGCAATATACATATCATCCATCCATCTATGGCGAACTACAGCCATGCAGCTGACAACATTTTACAAAATCTCTCTCCTTTAACAGCTTTTCTGAAACTGACTTCACTGGGTTTCATAATAGGAGTCAGTGTGGTGGGTAACCTTCTGATCTCCATTTTGCTAGTCAAAGATAAAACCTTGCATAGAGCTCCTTACTACTTCCTGTTGGATCTTTGCTGCTCAGATATCCTCAGATCTGCAATTTGTTTCCCTTTTGTTTTCACCTCAGTAAAAAATGGCTCTACGTGGACGTATGGGACTCTTACTTGCAAAGTGATTGCCTTTTTGGGGGTTTTGTCCTGCTTTCACACTGCTTTCATGTTATTCTGCATAAGCGTCACGAGATACTTAGCTATTGCCCACCACCGTTTTTATACGAAAAGACTGACCTTCTGGACTTGTTTGGCTGTTATCTGTATGGTGTGGACTCTCTCTGTAGCCATGGCTTTCCCCCCAGTTTTAGATGTGGGCACCTACTCATTCATTAGGGAGGAAGACCAATGCACTTTCCAGCATCGTTCCTTCAGGGCTAATGATTCCTTGGGATTTATGCTTCTTCTTGCCCTTATCCTCCTAGCCACACAGCTTGTCTACCTCAAGCTGATATTTTTTGTTCACGATCGCAGGAAAATGAAGCCAGTCCAGTTTGTTGCAGCAGTGAGCCAGAACTGGACTTTTCATGGTCCTGGAGCGAGTGGTCAAGCAGCTGCTAATTGGCTGGCTGGATTTGGAAGGGGTCCCACACCTCCAACCTTGTTGGGAATCAGGCAAAATGCGAACACCACAGGCAGGAGGAGGCTACTGGTTTTAGATGAATTCAAAATGGAGAAGAGAATCAGCAGAATGTTCTACATCATGACATTCCTCTTTCTGACCTTGTGGGGTCCCTATTTGGTAGCCTGTTACTGGAGAGTTTTTGCAAGAGGGCCTGTAGTACCTGGGGGATTTCTAACAGCCGCTGTCTGGATGAGTTTTGCCCAAGCTGGAATCAATCCTTTTGTCTGCATTTTCTCCAACAGGGAGCTGAGGCGCTGTTTCAGCACAACCCTTCTTTACTGCAGAAAATCCAGGTTACCAAGGGAACCTTACTGTGTTATATGAGGGAGCATCTGTAAATCTTTAGCCTTGTGAAACACTACCATTCTCTGCTAAGCAATTGTGGCCTGTAGCCATGTCTTGAGGAGAAAATCAAGAACGGGATGTCAGCAGCTGTAAGGATTTGGGCAACATTCTGCAGTCTTTGCAATAGCTCACCTCTAATCCTGTTTTAAACCTAAACATGTTCCTGCTGACCACTGCTGAAGGTTTGTAATTAAGAACAAAGGACTGAACTACTGCCCTGAATTCCTTTATGTGGTTGAAATCTAGATTATGAAAGTAGCAGGTGCTAAGTATCAGTGCTAAATGCTGTGTATATCACTACATAAAATAAGAACATCAAAAAGATTAGCATTGGACATCTTAATAAATTAAGTTGATATGAGGTTAATGTGTTGATAAAACTAATTTTAGACATCTGAAGACCTTTAAAACATTTCATACAATTATTATTTTGCAAAGACTGAAAACTGGGGACTCAAGTACTGTAACTGATTAAAGATGTGCCATGCATTATTGGATTATCACACTTACAAATCTGTTTGCCTTGTGAGTAAGTTTTGGGGAGCATTCCAAAGCAGTATATTTGTTCAGATTTTGACTTTAAGTTTTTTTTCTCCAAATATATTACTCTTTCTAATTACCATTTTCCTTAACAGTGAAATTACTAACATTTAACTGTATTCTGTGTTTTTTGCTGATTTGGTATAAAGTTTAATAGACTCTTATTTATATTTTTTAAAAAGCTAGATATCAGTCTGTTAGGCAACGTTAATGATAATATCCAGTCATAATTGAACAGTTATAATTATACAGAATAAACACATGTTGCCTTAAAGGGTTATCTAGTATCTTCCATTTTGTTTAGCATTGAAGCAAATAAGCAAGGAAAATTGAATCGATAACTCTGGTCAGTCATTTGGGAGTGCATGAAAGATCACTTAGTCCTCTTTTTTCCTTTTTACTCCAATGGTTCCCAAAATCAATATGCACATCACTGGGATTATGTGATTTTTTTCCTAGGTGTGCCGCCCTTTCTAGTTTGTTCTGGGAGACACAGGCAGTTGATGTATGTTTATATTTTAAGACAGCTGTCATGGGGAGACCGCAGCCTTAGTATGATATCTTGCACAATTTGTGAAGCATTTATTCTACTGAAGGCACAGTCTTGTTTATATTTTCTGCACATTTTGGTGTATTGGTTGTTTTAAATTATTTAAGTTTTAACTTGTGAAAGCATATAATATGATTTCTTAGTATTTTAGAAATACATTAGAGTCTGTGAGTCTTTCCTTCTTTAAGATACAGATGTGTGGATTTCAATATAAAGTTGCATTTGCCAAAATTTACCTGTGTAGCTTGTTAATTTTCTTGGAATAAAATTTTACATTTTTCCAGTTATACAATTAACCTTTTTTATTTTGTCTAGTGAGCTAGCATGAAGTACTGAGAATGTAGCCATTATGAATTATTATCCTTTGCAGTCACTGTATTCCCAAACTGTAAATGCATGAATGATGGGGACCACAGGATTGATAAATTATATTATCTGCAGTAGCACTATTGTGTAGTTTATCATAATTACCCATCTATCTGTTCTAATATGTCAGTTATATTTAAAGTTACAACACAGTATTTGACATTAACTTCACAGTTTAATTTTGGAAATGTGTATAACTGAAGCACAAAATCATGAGTTGATCAGTCATAAAGAATGCAGATTTTTCTTAATTTTGGGATAGACAAGACTAGAGGTCTTAATTTAGTATTTGTATATCTTGTCCTTTGTTGTAGTTTTATGACCAGCAAGTTAATGTCTACGTACACAAGCAGCAGTCAATAATGGAAATGTTTAAATTTGTATGATAGCATTATACAACATATGCAACAATTCAGACAGTTGTGTCTATATGTGATCAGACAACTTGATCAAAGATTTGGTGAGCAATCTGTTTGACCTCACTTACACTTTCATACTGAGGTTGATCAGTTGAGAGGCATGGCTTTATATACTGTGTTGAAACAGAAAAATTGCTAAAATAATGAGTCCTCATCAGTATAGGAATGTTTCAGAACGTGATTTTAAATGGGACCAATAAACTTCTACCAAAAGGACATTTTTATTACACTGAAAAAGGCTTTGAAATTAAGGTAGTTAAGCAATTGTCAAAGATAGCAGGAGTGAATAAAAACTGAATCGTATGTTGAGAAAAGTTCTGAAAGTCATCCCACTTAAGTTTATTAAAAGGTTGATTGGCAATAACTTCAGTCTAATTTCTTTAAAATAGTAACCTTTACAAGGAACATTGATATTACATATTGTAATAAAGAACTACATGTAAATAAAGTTGTAAATATTATATAGTTGTAGAAGTAGTCAGTTCTGAGGATTAGCCAGAAAATTTTCGACTGAAATTTCAAAAGCTGCAAATCTGGGGCCTGACCTAACTCTTAATAAAGTCAGTTGGTGTTTTCCCATTAACTTCATTTGGAGCAGAAGCAGGCCCTAGCATTTCTATAGTACTATACTTCTGAAATACTAAGAAGGCTGTGTTTACTATGCAGTGGGAAAAGAAAAAAAAAATTAAATTATTTCCCTGGAAGTTTTGCAAGCAGCAACTGATGTAAATTAAAATAATAAACAGTAAACAAGTCTGAAAGCAAATATTTTGATAAATGTTTTTCTTTTGATATGAATATAATTCCTTTGGCTATATGACAATACTGTATTGCTATCTGAGAAAGGGCAAGTACTTTTTATTAAGTGGATTTTTAGGATTGTGCCAGTAAGAAATCTTGTGACAGAAGTATTTAGTTTTATTTTTCTCCAGCATTAAAAGGACAAGGGGATGTTCAGTGAAATTAAAAGCCAACATATAAAGTAACATTTTATGCAAAGTTATTACTCAGTGGAACACACTGGTACACAATGTCAAGTAGTTTTAGAGAGATTCCTACAAGAACTGTATGTATACATGAATTAAAGCAGTGCTTGCACTTTTTGCCATCAGTGTCATTTTGATCCTAGTCAGCATATCAAAAGTAATGTATTAAGGTATAAATTCAAAGGAGCAAAAAGGTTCATTCCAATTCAGTACACTGTTGGGTCACAGTATGAAAAGCCTTTTGCTTTCATTTTAGTACAGGAGTTAAGCTATTGCCAAAGCTAGAATACAGGGCTGGTAGATTAGTCCTTTTCAGAATAGCAAAGAGTATCACACTATTTTATATCTGCATTGATCTTTAATGCTCATGGGTAATGTGAAGTCAATAGTTTTAATTTTCTGATGAGAGAGAAAAAAAAAGAGCAGGTTCCCTAAAGAAAAGGCTGGCTACCCCTGTTCCTTTCCTGCCCTCTGTTGCCCTGCCGGCCCTTCAGCAGATTCTCCCTCAATGCTTCTACAAGAGTGAATGTTTCATACACTGAGTACTGTATTTCTCCTGCTCCTTGAGAAGTGTCTCTGCCATTCCTCCTCCCCAGCAGATAAGCTCCTGCAGCAGTTTCCCAGGGTCTGTCAGTGTCTGGGTTCCCTTCCTGAGGATGGAGATGGATTGCCAGTATCTTCCAGCTCAGCTTCCTTTGTAGTTCATGGATCTTAGGACGTTTGGCTAGCCCACTGAGTATCTTTGTCTTTTGGCTTTGCTCATGAAGTACATGCTGTTTATATTGTGCAGAGAAAAATGAGAATGGGGAGGGGGTAGCAGGAAACAACTTTCCCTTACACAAATTTTTCACAAGGAAACCACTGTTTTTGTTGCACTGCCCAAGAGCACATAGTATTTTAAAAGTGTTAATTACCCTCTAAATAAATAAAATGTACAATTAGCCAATTAAGTCAAGGCTTTTGGTACAGCTACAGTCTTACTATAAAATGGCTTTTTGTCAGTCTCTAGGCCTTGGGGCCAGAGGAGTCCACTCTGTCTATCTGCTTTTAAGTTCATTGTGTTTGTTCACTTGTTTTGCTTTTGCTTTGACTTTCAAGCATCTCAACATATTATTTATATTATAAGAATCCAGTATTGCAGCAGGTTGTTATTACTCATGAGTTTAAAACGATAATATTAAAGGGAACTCTGATGATTTATGGGGTGAGTTAGGTAGTTTGGCAAGTAATTGGTTTTTAGCAAATGTTAAATAAACCTGTGGGCTGCTGGGCTCTTCCATAGTTACACAGTCAGTTCTTAATTATTGAAACTAACAATGGAGTAGACTAACCCACATAAAGCTAACACACAGGTAATACAAAGCATGTCCACATTAGATAAGAGCTTCCTATGTGTATTACATTTATCAAGGAATAGAGTTAAACTCAAGTAAAAAGTGAGATCAGAAGTTCAAAGAAGAATGGTGGGTGTTTTTCCTTTTTTTCTGCTTTGTTTTAGCATAGCACTGCTAATCTGCAACCTGGGTTACACACCCACATACAACTGAGAGTTGCCTGTACAATTCTGCATAGCACATAGGCAACTTCCTTCTAGTTTATATTCATTGAGAGCTCTGTGAGTGCACACTACTAATCTGATTGACTTTTTAGAGAAAAGAGAAGGCTCAGTCTGAAATACTGTTCTGCAAAATTAAAATTCAATAGAACTCTGCTTTTGTATACTGAAGTGATACTGAGTGTGAAGAAATCAGTGATTTAAATCAGCAATGATCATAAGTATACTCTGGCCATAGCCATTAAAAATAGGACAAGATGACATTTTGCAATGCATATGCAACAAATCAAAGAGTTTGATATTATACATCAAGACTTTATGTGAGTGGGCTGAAAATAGTTCATATTTTACATTTAGAAAAAAGTATGGTGAAGCTATCCATTTAAATGGATAAACTCTTTAACTAGTCAGTGTGGAAAAAGAAGGGTGAACTTTAAAAATTGCTCATTATAAATAGTAAACAGTTTTGGTGGTGTTTTTGTTCAGCTGAACTGTGTAATTATATAACTATATGATGATCAAAGGAGTGTCACAGTGAATAAGTTAGATTTTTCTTTACTAGTCTAGAAAGGAAATAACTATCTTCAGACATTTGAAATTAAGTAATTATGGTCATCTACATGTCTTACAGCATTTAGATAACAAAATAATTATTTACATTTTCTGTACTTATTGATTCATTTACTTAAAGAATAATGTCTTTAGACAGTGAGTTGGCTGATGCAACCAAATAATGGACTTCTTTGTATCACAGGTTTTGTACTATAATTTGTATGTAATAAGCACAAGACATAGAAAACCAGAATCTATCTGATATCAACTTCAAGCTCTGCATTAGGTACAAAACTTCTCCTAGTGTTAGGCAAATTACTGTCTCCAGATATTATTCAAAACTGTTCTGTGCTACTTCACAAGAATATTACTTCACCTTTGTTAAAGAGCAGTCTGGTTAAAGATGTGTATTTTTTTTCATTTTATGACCATCAAGTCCAGACATGCTCACATCCTTATGCAAATTGAAGAAATTGTTAAAAATACAAAGTTTCTTTGTATTTTTTTTGTATTTTTCTTTGTATTTTTTTATCAGATTCTTGAGATAGTATAAAAGGGTGGCACAGACACTCAATGACTATTCTAGGCAGAAGGTGGAAGGATGCAAAAAAGTATTCATCCCTTTGTAGGAGCTGTTTAAAA